CGACGGACACCGGTATCAAACAGCCATTATCGTTCACTTTCGCGAAACAAAGCACCAACTCGGGGCTGTTGTACAGTTACACCCTATAAAGTTAACAGCTAGTCAGACACGAGGGTACCAATAAATAGCACCTTACGAAAAAAAAAAAAAAAAAAAAAAAAAAAAAAAAAATTATAAAAACTTTNTGGTTTACAGCATCGTACATCCTTGGGACTGTATAACTTGGGCAAAGGTTAAAAGTAACGGGTTCAGTGAAAAAAATAGCGCACAGACGAAGGGAGCAAAAAGTGAAGAGCGAAAAAAAGGGAAGATAAGACGCGGATCGTTATTATTTTTTCAAACGCTCGATTATGCCCTGATACTGTATGCGAGTCAGTTGCGGTAGTTTTTTTACCTTTTTTTAGCTCTTGAAAATTGACATTTTTATCTTTCTATCTTTATTCCTTTTTTTCACCCGTGCCTTGAAATCCTGCCTTTTATTGACGAATCGATCCTGTGGAACAGACGTGTACTCTTGAGCCTTTATCGGCAAAGAGTGGATGCTTTTTATGATCGATATTGTACGTTTTTTTTTTTTTTTTTTTGTTTTTTTTTGTTTTTTTTTGTTGGGTCAAGATCCAGATGATGAAAAAGCTCTGACAAAAAGATAATTAGTTGTTCGTCTTCTCTTGTGGATGAAACAAAGCTTATGTTTACTCCAAGTTGCATACATAACAGTGCTTTAGTTAGATTTAGGCAAGATGAGTTCAGAGTAAAGTGTCGATAAAAAAAAAATTTTCTGAATCATCTTATTTTTCATGAAAACTTACGAGGATCTCATGAATAGACCAACAATAATCTGCATATTCGGTAGGTATATATATGTGGCCTACTACGTGCAGTACCACGTATTCAAATAAACCACAGGCACTAAAACATTTACTAATTCGAGAGTGGACAAATTTTCTAATCGTCCTCTACAGGTTACCATTGACTACAGCTTTTATTTCGAAAATTTGAGAATTGAGAAAGGGAGGGAGGAAAATAAAAAGCAATTTCTCGGATTTTCTGGGCTAAACGGCATTGACGACTTTTCGCAGCTGATAAGCTCTGTTCAACACTCGACCATGGAGACGTGTAGGGGATCTCGAAAAAAAAATAACCTGACAGTAAATTTTTTTCACCCTCGTCTCTGTGTATTAAAATTAATTTTTTTCTCTGCTTGCACATTCCTTGATTAATTTTCTTTATCCATTTAGCACCTTTACACTCGACAAACAAAGTATTTAATTGTATGCCATCAAACATTCTTTTTGACGTCTAATTGAAATTTCCTGGATATCATTTCAAGGACGAAAAACCATTTTAAAAAGATTAACAGCCCGTAGTCTCATCTCAGGCGCCGTGCCCCTGTTGGACCAAAAGCGCCTGTAGTTTCAGTTTCGAGAAGCGAGCACTTGAAAATTAAAACCACTTCTTGAACGTGAAAATTTTTTAAAAACGACATAGCAAATAAGGGGAAAGCCTTGCTACACCCTACTTTACACCACGCCCTTCATTTATCTCTGCCCTCGAAAATGTACCTTCTCCTCCCCCTCTCGAAAAAGCTCATTCCCACGCATTACTCTCTTCAAGTTAATTGGACAGTCGATAATCTCGAATAAATCGAGTCAATAACTCCCGCGAAACACTCGATAAATCGGTGTACTGGTAATATACGTGTGAGTACCATGTCGCTTTTTCTTATTGTGATACTTTAATGAAAGCTCTTATCCACGAGGAAAGGCAGCGTGTGGGTAAGGCAGGCCCAGCTCAACCTCTCTCCTTTTGGATGTACCAATCCATGAGTCTCTCTTCTCTATTTCTCTACCTTTCAAGGGGCGTACGGGTGCACAGCTGTATAATCGTACGTAAAAGTATCGAGTAAAAAAATATCAACTGCTGAGTGCTGAATTGAACAAATGTTGGTTTTTGATTGCGACGACGCAAGCGTAAGAGAGGGTGTAAAATTAAATTAATCATGCGACTACTGAGCACCAAATTAGAACAAAAGCTCGTATCCTCATGCGTACAGTGAATACTTCGTTTCTCACAACGGGGCGTAAAAATAGTCATGTACAGCTCGAGTTAATTACGAAATTACCGTATTTTTCGCTCGAAAGCAAGACCCAAGCATGAAATACTATATTCCGAAAGAGACACAAAACATTCACTTTGAATAATTAATCTCTTCCCCTGACAACAGCCACCCATCGAATTACTCCTGTACCTCAGTGCCAAAGGGAACGCACGGACTTTTCACTGCTTTGAAGCAAAATAGTTTGGTTTTTTTTTCCCCCACGGCATCCTTTGTCTCGTGACTGCTCGGTTTTTTAATTTTTGCTTGAATTTTTCAAATAAAAGTACAACAAACACGCGCAGAAATGAGTGCTTTCAACGAGCAAAAGTTTTTAAAAAGCACCGTGTTTTTGTTTCTCGACTGGTGCGGTCGAAGAACGAGGGTCTAGGCCGGGAAGGAGGGGAAGAAAAAAATAATTAGGCCACGCGGCGGACAAAGAATCGGGAAGGGAAATGGAGTGAGACGAGAACTGCTATCGGAAAAAAGAGCCCAACGAAAAAGGAAAAACTAAACGCTTTTCGAGCAAATGCTGACCCGTTTGAATACAATTGGCGACTAAAATTGCAATGGCTTGAAAAAAGTTCCTAATTCTCAAGCCTAGGCTCTACCTATTTACCGCTACGTTTTTTTCAACTTTTCTTTGAAAAAAAAAAAAAAAAGAAACAATAGGCCACAACTTCCTGTGAGCTAGGACTAGTACGTATATATGCCCGGGACATATTTTCCAGCCGATACTCCCGAGCTTGGTTACTCCAAGCCGACTGTCTCTTTTCCGCTCGCGTCGAGGCAGAGGATATCTTTTTTTCTTAGCGCAGCTCTGCGTGAAAATTCCCCATTGCTTCTCTTTCCAGGGTGCACGCACTACTAAGAGGGGCTCCAAAACTAATTTTTACGCGCGTGGCTTTGCGGGACTCGAGCCCATTGTGTACCTTCCGTCCGGAAAATTTAATTAAATGCAAATCTTGCCCTCCACGCTCGGAGGGTTAGATCTTTCAAAGTATCACCGGCTCGTTTCTCTCCATTTGAATCGACTTTTTTTGCGAGCTCTTTTTTTTTTTTTTTTTTTTTTCAGCGAAATTAAAGTTTGAACTGCTATACCACAACAGTAGTGTTGTTTCAATGTAAATGGAGTGTCGGGCATGATTTTTTTTTATTAAAGACCTTGTTTTTCGTTTCATATGGTCGAGAGAAAAAGAATGCCAACGAATTTGAAATAAAGTAATTCTGAAAAACATGGCAAAATAAACAAAAACCCACCCAAGCTCTCCAAATCTGGAAAAAAAAAGAAGAAAACTTTGTAAATCCGCTCGTATATACGTAGATGTCACGTCGATGTAGCCAATAATCCCAAAGGGGAGAACTTTGTGGGACCTCTTGTCGTCCTGTATCGCCCAAGTAGCACTGGCAGCCACAGGGACCTGACAATCCTTTCCGGACGAGTTGCTTCTTCCGACAGGGCTGCTGATAGGCTACTTTTCTCGTCGTACCAGTCATACACTCGTTCCCACAGGGAGAGAGAGACAAGCAATTGAGGATTTAGCATGCCTCCAAACGTAACTTCTCTTTGGTACTCGGTATACCGACCTCGACACTCGTACCGAGAAATAATATACACCAGCAGTAAATACGATTGTTGCAGTTTAGTGCGTAGTTTGTAGGGTTGGCGTTTCAAGGCGATTTTGCAATTGCCAAACAGTAGTGGTGGTCGCTCGAAAAACACCTCCCGACAAGGGGTGTCAAGAAACATACGTTATGCTTTTTGCTAATATAGTATTGATCAGAGCTTTTTATCTCCTGTTGACGATGAAAAAGGCTCGTGTTGCAACGAGTCGAATTTTTCGTTATTACGTATACATAAAAGCGCGTGCACTAACTCTAGTGTTACAAAGTACAGCAGGTTAGTTGGTATAGAGCGAAAGTTACGACCCAAACTTAACTCATTTAATCACAGTTCGGTTAGGAATGTGTGCAATGCCACGTAATCACGTTCATCACAATGCATGCTTCTATCTTTTTGATCATACTCGAGTGAAAAAGGAAGACAAAGTTCTTGATGGAACGAAACGAATTTTTTTTTTTTTTTTTTTTTTTTTTGCATTTTGAGCACGCAGCGATAGCGTGTCTTTTCTTTTTGATACAAAAAGCCCGTGTCAATACCATAAATGCACGATTTTACAAAGTCAGGGTTGATAACCACAAGTTCGTGATGACACATATTCCGTCAAAAGACCACACTCCCCGATAATTTCTCTCTGCGCGTGCATACGTGTGACACATCAATAAGAAAGTCCTACTATCGTCCATCAAGTTATCCCATATTGGGCACGCCAACGAAGATCCACAGATTTTTTTTTTCTGGTCTCAAAACGCCAAAAATAGACGAACACGAAAAAACAGCGTATAGAAAAATCTTATCTCAATTGTGCTTGATCGAATTTCATATTACTCCATAATACATGTAACGCCACGCCAAATGAAATAGATGAGACGTAGGGTGACATTCCTATAGATACACCGACTTGTTTTTTTTCCCCCAGTAGCGAGAACCACATGTGTGATTTTTATTGCACGGCTGAGAAAATAATTGATGAGCCCGCGCGTGCCTTCGGGGATCGGCGAGGGCAGAGCTCAATGTTGAATGAAGCACTTGGGTCGCCTTTGAAAGTGGAAATAAAAAACAGGTTCTTTTCTTGCTCCCAAACCTCAAGAGATACCTAAAGTGCGTTGTTATGCTCGTACTGTTCGAAAGCCCACGTGAATCAATGTAAAAGAATAAAAACAAAATCCTTACGCTACTGTAATAATTTTTATATGGTAGCAGGCAATGAAAGTGAAAATCCAAAAATTAAATTTTTTCCAATACTAGTTACTATACGAGGCAAAATTTTGTTATCTGTTGCAGGGGCTTCGGAAAGCAGGGTTACCAGTGCCAAGGTAAGCCATAATGCGTCCACTACGCAAAGAGAAGCGGCGACAATCTGCACTTACTCACGCTTCTTGGTCTCGGCTCTCTCTCTGTTACAGTATGCAGCTTCGTGGTACACAAGCGATGCCACGAGTACGTGTCGTTCCAGTGCCCGGGTGCCGACAAAGGAGTCGATTCCGATGTAAGTTGTCTCTTTTCTAAGCCCCAATCCCATCCTCGCCCTCGCACCCTCTCCCTTTCATAATTACTCACTCGCGAATTGGAGAAGTTCCTTTTTCAGTTTCTATAATTTTTTTTTGGGGTGGGCAGGGGAGTGTAGGGAGGAGGATACTTTTTTAAAGGAAGTTAGCAGCATTTCTCAGCTTTTGTCTCCATTGCGTCTTCATGAGGTCGCAGAGTCGGGCATTTTTCGCGAGTCGATCTTGTGGAAACAGATCGAACTTGACCAGTTGAAGCTTTCGCAAGATTGAGCATTTCTTTGCGTCCGTTAATGTGCATTATTTGAAATTTCTCATTCATCTTAAATATGTGATTCGATGCAGTCAGCTCCTTTTATTTTTTTGCTTTTCTACTTAAAAAAAAAAAATAAAAATAAAAAGATTTGTCGTTATTGAGAAGAAAAATGGGGGGAGAAGTAGCATAAACAAAAAAAAACTGCTCACAAAGTTCTCGGGTAAAGTTCGCGGATCAAAGTAAAAAAAGTGCGCCAAGGCTGGCCCGAGCGGTGGAAAAAAGAAAGGGGCGCAGTTCATTCGCCTAGAGAGATGGAGAGCAAAAAAAAAAAAAAAAAAAAAAAAAAACACGCTAGATGGTAAAATGACACGGACAAAAAGACAGTACAAAAATAGCGAGAGCAAGGAGACGGAATGGAGACAAAAGCGCGTGGCACAGGATGCCCCGCGGGGGTGGACCACGAAGGGGTACGTGTGTGTGTATAAGTAACACCTTTTTAGGCTCTGCGCTCGTGACTTGGACTTTGAATCACCTATTATTATGCGTTTAGTTTTGTATACTGTAAAACAATTTGGTGTTTGAGTGAGTAATGCGCATTTGTATATATTTTCCTTCAAATTTACTGAAGGTCTCCAACACCAAAGCAAAAAAAAAGCTTATACAGTCATTTCGGTCGAATATTATAACGAGGGAAAGAGCGAGGAAAGAAAGGAGCATTGAGATGGATCGTCCTTTCCCTAGGGCACTATACCCAGAGGCGTGTCGAGGGCCAATTCTAACTCCTAGGGGGGGGGGAGGGTGACTAACAATATTGTCTTCACGAGGAAGAGGAAGCGTATGTAACACGGCTGTTTACGTTTTTCCCCTACTGTATAAAAGTGGCACGTATGAGTTGATTTTTTTATTTTGTATATATAGGGTACAAACGTTTCGGCGGTGAGTGAGTAGCTGTATTTGGTTTTCCTTTTTTATTATATTTTGGGATGTGTGAGGAATGTTTGTCCATTATTTTACATTGTTTCCTTTGGGACGTAAAAAGTTTGTTGCTAGTCAATACACCTATCGGGTAAAATTGTTCGAATTTAAACTATCCAGTGTTATGCGTTGCGTCTGACTATTTCGGGCCATTTCTACTGAAATTATTATTTTTACCTTTCCAATGCCAGAAAAAATCCTTAAAAAATCATGACCGTTCAAATTTTCTCCGAGTATTCAGTTTTCTCGTCAAAGTGTACGGGACGATTTATTGTTGTTTTTGTTTTCCATATTTTACAAGAACTCGAGATGATAGCTCTGAAGAATGGACTCGCTCGGCGATCATTTTTCACTCGTGCGAAGCAGAAATATTGAAATGTTTTTCGAAGCTCCGGGCTCGCGAGGAACGGAAAGCTCGTAAACACTCACGTCAATCGTTTGGCCAAAACACAATTATTTTGAGTCTTATCATAAACTATAAGCATATCAATTTGATGTGTTTTTTTTCCGATGTCTTAGAAAAATGTTGGAATTCGGTCAACTTTGATTCAACTTTTTTCAATTCTCGAATACCCAAGGACAGACAAAAAATGAATAATTCGTGCCATAAAAAATTCTACGAACGATCCAAAAGAGTAGAGTCTGACGTAAAAATGTACACGTGGAGAAGTAAAACGAGCCTCCGGGGATATTATACCGCGTAGCAAGCAGCATACGTGCGTGTGTTTTACGTGTGCTCTTCGGTACGCGCCAACTTTGCCGTGTTAAATTTTTAATGTTCCATCCTTCACACGATTCTCGTGTGTACTCGTAAGGGTATAAAACATGTACACTCTCAAAAATGTTTACAGATGATTTTCTCACTCCCAGAGAGACTTTTCACTCACTTGCGAGTGGACGAATGTTTCCTTGCTGTGAGTAAACTGCCACTCACATATAAATTCAACGACTAAGTTCTGAACAGTCGTCCAACGCATATCCTCTCCTTTCCGACGCTATCGAGGGAACCTTGAAATCGAATTGTCTTTTTACTACCCCCCATCGTTTTCCCCTGACAGATGATGAAGTAGTCAAAATGTAATCTCGAATCTACGGTACAACTTTCAAACGCTCTTTTCTTCAACCCCTCATTTTGTAGAACCGATCAGTACAAAACGACCCGACTTGTTGAGAAAAATCGTTCACGCTTGGTTCTCCAGTCACGCGAAATCTCAATCGGTCATAAAACAGCACTTACAGCTCCGGAAATCACCCAATACTGTAATTAACTCTCGCGACACGTAGCCTTGGTATTGGGAGCGATAAGTGGCGCCCGTTGGGTACACACATACACACACACACACATATCCGTCAAACGCACTACTTTTACTCGTAATGGCCGTATATCTACCCTTGAGTGCCAACAAGCCCACAGCTGTACGCGACAGAGTGGGATAATTGCGGGCCGTTAATGAGTCGAGTTGTCGCGCCAGGGGTACAGTAGTACAGCTAAGCCAATAATCAGACACGGCAGACGTAAGACGCTCTTATGGCCCTTCTTGGAATTCAATTGCCATTAGTGGCTATTTTTAGCTCTTTCGTGGTGTAAGGGTCATACGTATGAGAAAATAAGAAATTACGTGAGGTCTAGTTAAACGTTTTATATAATCGAGCTAATCGTTATTTCAATCAATTTGAAGAACAGGCGTATCGCCTTCATTTCTTCCCTATCGAGAAAGGCCTTTTTAATTTACTTTTTCGGACCATCATGAGCCGTTGCCATCGAAATATACGTATGTATTCCTACGCGCGGAGAAGGAGTCCAATTTTGCGAAAAGAAATAACGGCGCATTATCGGAAAGCGGATGAATCCGTTCTTATTATTATATCCGGGGCCGGAGAGATTTCTCCTTTCATTTTTCGCGATTGAAAGATTTTCCTCGCAATAAACTCACCAGAGCGCTCCTAACATCACAGCTCGATGGATTTTCTCGGTCAAAATCGAAATTGCATCCCGATGATCCTTCAAATCTGAAAAAAAAAAATTATGCATCTCCCGAATAAGTTATCAAAAAACATCTTCCAATACCCAAAGTTTTCAACTTTTATTTACATATATATCGAAGGATTTTGTAACGCAGGAGCGACTCAAAATTCATCCAATAATACACACGAGGTCTCGCTCGTGCAAAAAAAATGAAAAAAAAAACAAAAAAAAACCGCGAGGTTCTCTCTCTGTTATTATAGAATTTCTCAATTACCGGGCGCCGTTTGAACGTGCAATTACATCGGACTAGCAGGCACGATTACCCGATCCAAATCGTGGAATGTCGATTGGATTTTTCTCCCTCTTTCGATTTCGCATCCAATTTCCATCGCAGAGTATACAAAGTATCCAAAATCACGTGGAAAGATAAAGAGATTACCCTCCACTTACACACACGCCTACTCGAGAATCCTATAAGGTGCGTCGGGCAATCCTGCGCGTGACTCACTCTTCTACCAGGGCCTCCTCGTAATTTATTAACCGCTGATTTGACGTCACTCTGACGCGAAATACTCTCGCGTAATACAGCCACTTGGGCTTGGCCCTTAAAAAAATTCTACCCCCTCGGCAAACGAGCGAACAAACAAAAATACAGCTGGAAGCGGGAAAGGAAAAATGTTTCCAAGCCACTGACGACATTCGTGCCCACGGTATTTAACCAAACAACGCAGGGGAGGGTGTGTATACTAACACATACACCACGTGGTCAAGGAAGAAAGGAGCAGCACGAAATTTCTTAACCTCGGCTGGACTCCTTGTATCCGAGAGAAACACAAAAAAGCAGGAAGGGGGAAATAGGCAGGCGCGCCTAATAATTCGAGCTTTCGAAGCGGCTCAGCGCGTATAATATCCCGCGGCCTCGTTCTCTCTCTCTCTCTCTCTCTCTCTCTCTCTCTCTCTGTGGTAAATACACGCCCGCCCGCCGGCACTTAGAAAGACTCTGGCCGTGCTCTCTTGACCCCATCCGGCCCGCGTCCTTGACCCTTTGCCTTCCTTTCTCTCTCACCTGTATCCGTCTTCCCCCCCTGCACCGTGTACATACACAAGTGTATGTGTGTGTGTGTGCAGCATCCGCTTACTATACCTACTATTTTACCACGAGTAATACCTGCATGGTAAGTATGCTCTTAGCGAGCGAATTTCATGTTTCGGGTGCTTTACGCGCGTTGGACGAGGATAAGGGTCGCGAGTACACCGATGCTCGATCTAGATTACCTCGCTGTCAGCGAATCGCTTGGCCTCCGGTGCAGTTGAAAATTTGTTTCCCTCCCCCTCCTTTTTATTTATTTTCATGCTTGAGTGCACTGTAAATTGAAGGATCGGGTAAACCCTTTTGTTTTTGTAATTTTCTTTTCTGTTGTTTTTTTTTTTTTTTTTGAGGGTGGATGAGGAATGAGGTTTTTGTCCAGCGACTCTGCTTTGTTGAGGAACTTTTATGATAAAGCGTTTGGGGAAATGACGAATAAAGAGCCTTTGATTCAACGCAATTTTCCAACTGTACGTGTGTGCAACGATTCCTGCTTCGAGTCAACTGTAATGTCTCGAAGGCATGAAAACTCTAGATTCGAGAACTTGGACTATACTTGATTTTTGCGTAAATAAAAACTTTCCAACACCCCCTCGACTATTAATCCATCCTCTCGATGTTTCCCTTAACTTTATGTGTTTTAAAATAACGCTGTTTGCGCAAATAACATGTGAAAAATGCATACGCACGGGGTACGATT